TTATCATCCTGTCTCGAGCGTAACTTTTTCTACAAAAAATATTTGGAGGAAACCATGAAATTTAGTTTTCACTTTTCAACTTAAACTCGGGAAAAAAATCCTTCGGATTTTTTTAATTTATACTAATTTATACGAAAATTAAAAATTCACCACCCCTTTTTTGGCGAATAACCGCTGGTGCAGGCTCAGAAAAATGTGTCTATAGGGGTACCATTAGTAGTATCGGTTACACACTCCATTAAATAAATAGATTTATCATATAATTATCKATGAAATACCTATATTTCTCATTCATTTCTTTCATTCTGAAGGAAAAGATGGACGTGAGATGGTATACCAGGAAAAGATGGCGCCGTCTGTTCACCAGGCTCACCAGGTCCAAGAGGTAATATTAAATGCTAAACCTTCATTTTTTGAACTTAATTGTTCATGTAACTCTATCCGATGCTTTCAGGACGAGATGGTCGTGATGGCCAACATGGCTCCCCAGGAACACGAGGTAATACTCTTTTCAGAAACTAGTTGAGGACAGGGAACGGGTTTTTAACGTTTATATTTGTACCTAGTTCCCATATTTTTTTGATATTTTTAAATGCTGCAGCTCAGCGGTCGTTTTTACCTAACGTAGTCTTGTTAAAAAGGTATATACAAAGTATATATTCGATTATTAAATTGTTGTTATGTTCAGGCAGTCCTGGTTTGCAAGGTTCACGTGGTGCTCAGGGACTAAGGGGTCTCCCTGGTCCTAAAAGTGGTGGTGTTCAGTACATACGTTGGGGGAGGACCTCGTGTCCTTCTGGTGCTAATCTCGTCTATAAAGGTAGATTCAATAATTATCATAATCACGTGATCATAGTGTTGTTGTATTGTAAGAAGCTTTTAAAGTGCAACTGAGCCCTTTTAGAAAATCATTTTTAACAAAAGGCATGATGGTAATCATTGTCTTGAAGACTAAAAAACAAGTTGTTTAATTCTATTTTCTGAGTTAAAGGCATTTGAAAATTGAAAATGCTAATGAAGTGACACGAAGTAGATTTCAAGACGTATTTCATAATGAGTCACATGGTCGCGAGAGTTAGTTGGAGAGGTGGAGATTCTTGTTCTGCAATCTGTGTGTTGGTTATTACAGTCACATCGAAAAAAAGATTGGTGAATACTTGGTGAATTCAGACGAGTTGCTGAAAGAAATTCTGTCGATTAATATAATATTCTGGGAATTTTGGGAGAATGCATGATTAACAAAATCATTTTGCATTGTTTTTCTATGAAAACCTTTTCAATGACATAATAAAGTACTTAAATACCTCGAACTACGGCCCTCGGGATGTATAAGCTTGTTCTCCGTTCTCGTTAATTAACTCTTACATATCAATAACTTTGTCTTATATAAGAAGAAGAGTATTCTAAGCCTGTCTAAGAGTCAAGATTGTATTCTTTGTTGACTATTCAGTCAACAATCATCAATAGTTAGAGTCAAAAATCGTTGCTAATACTGATATTTTTCTTACGTGGTTCGGTAGGTCGTGTAGGGGGAGAGGACTACACCCACCTCGGTGGGGGTTCCAACTATGTATGCCTGACAGAGTCCCCCAAGTACGCGAGCTACAACGATGCTCATCAAAAGTATTCAGCCTACATGTACGGTGCTGAGTATCAAACTAAAGACAGCTACAATCCATTTTCACCCAATCCTCACGACCACGACGTCCCTTGTGCTGTATGCTTTATTCCAAACCGTAACGCCAAACTGATGATCTCGGCAACTTACGAGTGTCCCTCGGGATGGTCCAAAGAGTACTGGGGATATCTTATGCCATCGGAGTACCGTCAAAACAGCCAGAAAGATTTCATTTGCGTTGACAAATATCCAGAAGTCGTCAAAGGCTCGGTTCACAACCATAATGGTGCATTGTTGTACACCGTTGAAGGAAGGTGTGGTTCTCTGCCTTGTCTTCCTTACGTAGAAGGACGGGAACTGACATGCGCAGTCTGTACCAAGTAAAACTGGAGCGTGCAGAAAATGGATCAAGGTCGCATGAGCAATAATAATCTTTATAAATCCCATTAAAACAAAAAAATATATAGTAAAGTGAAAATAAAATAAAAAGCTGATTCAAAATGATATCATATCGAGGTGTTTTTTATTATTCTTTTGTATAGTGGTTGTATAGGTGTTCCATTACAAAAGGTTTTATGAAATGGTCTAATGACAGCTGAGTATACTGCATTACACATGTATAAAACAGTTAAAGGTGTCGTGACTTCAAAACCAGGGACCGCGGTGCAGGGGGGACTGGGGGGCTGTAGCCCCACAATAATTTTCCCGCCATTTTGAATTTTCTTAAATAACGAAGCGAACAGCCTCCTTGTGAAATTTCACCATATATATTCTATAAAAAGTGTTAAAAACTGAACGCGAATAATTAAAATTGAGGCTTTTTTGCGAAGTCTTTGGGATTTTATCGATAATATCGCTGAGTGTGTGCAATCAGTAAATATGGTCTTGGATAACGCCTAAAAACGCTGAAAATGCCCAATCACTCTAGTATAACCACAGGGATCACAGGCCTTTTATCAGTGGTTTCTATATTACCACCCCTAAACTTCTTATTTTAACGTTATTTTGAAGATTATGTATATTGTTATTGAAACGAAATTTCGCACTTGGATTGCAACGAAATTCCGGTTTGACCTCTCTTGACGTCATTTCCGAAAACTCGTCACAGGTCTAAAGGACACGTGTTCATAATGGTCGAATAAAAAATCTTTGAAAATCTGTTAAATAAGAAATATTCAAAATTATCTAAACTTTTTGTCTTTTAGTTATTATAAGCCTGCACTTTTTAAATTATCCAAATTCCCCTAATATCGGTCGGTCGTGCAAAACCATCATTTACTATGGCAACAGAGATGCAACGGAAATCGTTAAAATTCGATATTAAACACTTTGGAGACTTCATTTCTTTTACAAGCATTGATTAAAGGACACTATACATAGAAGTATGATTAATTCATTCTTTAAATTCATGTTCACAAAATTCAACTTTTTCATTTAGGGTCGTTAAACTTTAAAAACAGAAAAGACTATCGATTCCCATTGTTGTAAAACAATAGAGTACCTGCTGCTTTTTGAATTAGCACAACAAGCGATCACTTCGAATTCCAAATCTTGTTTTAATTTATAGGCATTTACATATAGAGACGGATTTGTATTGCAAGGATTTACGGAGATACGGATTTTATTTTTGAGTTTAGAAGAAATCTCTTATGAGTGAGCGTAAAGATCTGAAATCCGTACCTCTCGCACGGCAATGTAACATTCTGTTTATTATATCATTATCTATGAAAACAATTTATGTCTTGAAATTAATTTCTTTACCTCCAATCTTAAAGATAACACGATTGTTTTCTTTTTTACCTGGTGGAAATAGGTTTAGAATCATATTAATCCTTTTAGACATTATTTATCGTGGGTATATTGATGAAAAAATAGGTATTTCATGATTAATCAGTATATGATAATTTATTCAAAATAAGACCTATTTGCTATCAAAAGAGTTTYAATTACAAGCCMTTCATAAAATAATTCTTCGTATCCTATAAAAATTGAATTTGTCAGTATTGTTTAAAAAAAWWTATATGAAGAATKTTTGGGGTATAYAGCAATAAAGAGATTAGTTATTGACCATGGATACACTATGTTTAGTTAACCATCTCCAATAATTAGTTATTGATGATGTATGAGTCAASAGTAACGTTTTCACGAWTTTTCGTGTATGCTCCCTGTCGGCAAATACTGACAGTTTTTTCCTCGTGTCATTCAAATAGCCTAACCCGGACGATCGTGGAGCAGAATTGTTGAAACAGTCGAAATAAATCGTTTTCTGCGATAAAATGCTGTTCAAAGCCGTCTTTATCGTGGTGATAATCGCCATGTTTTTGGGTGTTGACGGTAGAGATGACGAGCACAACGATGTGGTAAAACGAGGCACCTTGAACAAAACAAACCAAGACTTACAGGTACTGAGCGATGTTGTGAAAGCTTTGAAAGAAAGGTAGGAAAATAGTATTACAACTGTTTTAGCTTCTTAAAAGTATATATATGCGATGATTGACTGGGTATTTGATGCAAATGGGTAAATACCTATAATAACATTTTGTTTTTATTTTTTATTTGTCTTTAAAAGAAAAATATATATATATGCTATACTTTGAATTTGAACTTGCAACTCACAAGATTTATACAAACCATTTCTTAAGTTCCTTCGAGGCTATTCATTGATATCAAAAACCATTTTATTTATTTTTTGGCTTAAGTAAAAAANAGAAGTCGTCAAAGGATCGGTTCACGACCACAATGGTGCTTTGTTGTACACCGTTGAAGGAAGGTGTGGCTCTCTGCCTTGTCTTCCTTACGTTGAAGGACGGGAACTGACATGCGCAGTCTGTACCAAGTAAAACTGGAGAATGCACAAAATGAATCAAGTGTTACAGTCGCTTTACCAATAATAATCTTTAAATAATCATTAAAATAAAAATATGTAGTAAATTGAATAGAAAATAAATCTGATTCAAAATGATATCATATATATCTAGGTGTTTTTTATTATTCTTTTGTATAGTGGTTGTATAGATGTTCCATTACAAAAAGGTTTTATGAAATGGTCTAATGACAGCTGAGTATACTGCATTACACATGTATAAAATAGTTACAGTCTCGTGACATCAAAATGCCCAATCTCTCTAGTATAAGCACAGGAAGCCGTGACACGCTTCAAATTGGTAGCGCCTGCGTTGCAGGATACCATTGTCTCAGCTACAGGATCGTCTAGTTTCGTAGTGAAAGCACCAGTTTCAAGAGTGGCGGACGGTATCCATCAAAATCTCTATTTGTGATTGTTTCCGGACTTAACAGGCATTTACAAAATGTAAATACTTGCAATTTTGACTATTCATTTTTGCTAGGTCGAAGTCTATTAGCATTTCATATTTTTTTCTATAGCATGCTAATAGATCTATTAGTATTCTATATTTTTTCTAACATACTAATAGATCTCATTTTCTATTGTTATTTTTCATCAACCCCACCCTTTCCCATGCTCTGAATTCAAGCCCTCCCCGCGCTTTAAGTTTGTGTTGGTGATTATAAGAGTAGCTATGTGACTACAATGGCGGTCACTGAGTGGCTGTGTAACTTATGAATAATTTATGAATATTATAAACTTAGATCTCCAATTGGTAATTGATGAATGAGTTACAAGTACTGAACGTTTCTTTTTCACGAATTTTCTTGTACACTCCATGTGATAATATATTGATATATTAATACTGAATATCCTCACTCTTACTTTTTCTTCATCTCATTCAAATAACCTAGACGACGATCGTTGAACAGAATTGTTGATAGAGTTGAAAGAAAACGTTTTCTGTGATAAAATGCTGTTCAAAGCCGTCTTTATCGTGGTGATACTCGCCATGTTTTTGGGTGTTGACGGTAGAGATGACGAGCACAACGGTGTGGTATAGTAAAACGAGGTACCTTGAACAAGACAAACCAAGACTTAAAGGTACTGAGCGATGTTGTGAAAGCTTTGAAAGAAAGGTAGGAAAATAGTATAACAGCTATTCTTACTACTTAAAAAGTATATGCGATGATTAATTGGGTAATTTATGCAAATAGATAAACGCCTAATTATGACAGCTTGTGTTTGATTTTCCTATAGAAACATTTATACGACTTATGTTTAGGACTTGACTTAACAAGATTCATAANAGATGGCCGTGACGGCCAACATGGCGCCCAAGGTCCACGAGGTACAGCCGTTGAGACCGTTGAGGTTATATTCTTCCACGAGTTCTATTAGATTGTTATTATATTTAGGAAGTCCTGGTCTGCAAGGTCCACGTGGTGCTCAGGGACCAATGGGCCATCCTGGTCCTAAAAGTGGTGGTGTCAAGTACATACGCTGGGGGAGGACCTCGTGTCCTTCTGGTGCTAACCTCGTCTACAAAGGTAACTGTACTTGATATTGCATAGTAGATGCAGTATTTCTTTTTCGCCAGGTTTTTCACTTGCATTGCGTCAACTTTTCTTTTACCAGTTCATGATAGCAACAACTGAGAATAGAGCTAGAAATTGTAAGATTATCTGATCTTAAAAGTGACGGACATAGAAACAGATTGCGAGTGGATATTTGAGGTGCCCTCATTTTCCATGCATGTATGAAAACTCCCAAGACTCACCCAAATCGAATGCCTTTTGACTCTAGAACTTTAATTGTGAGTGCATTGTTGGATGGGCTTATAACGATTATATCTTTTAGGTCGTGTAGGAGGAGAGCGTTACACCCATATAGGAGGAGGTTCAAACTATGTATGCCTGACCGAGGCACCAAAATATGCGAGCTACACAAGTGTCCTCAAAAAGTATTCAGCATTCATGTATGGATCTGAGTACCAGGTTCATTCCACTGAACATTCCAACCCGTTCAACAACAAAAACCTTCACGATCACGATGTCCCTTGTGCTGTATGCTTTGTTCCAAACCGCAACACTGAACTGATGATCCCGGCAACATACGATTGTCCCACAGGATGGTCCAAAGAGTACTGGGGATATCTTATGTCGGAATATTACAATCACGCTAATCAGAGAAATTATATTTGCGTTGATCAAGATGCTGAGCCTGTCAAAGGAACGATCCACAATCATGACGGCGCGTTGTTGTACGGTGTCCAAGGAAGGTGTGGCTCTCTGCCTTGYCTTCCTTACGTRGAAGGACGGGAACTGACATGCGTWGTGTGTACCAAGTAAAATCGTGACATGCRCAATACGCCAAGATATATATGTTCATGATCCATCAGTTTAACGCAATATATATTGTAAAAGAATAAGTAAATAAAACGCAGAAAATGAAATTAAAGAGTTAAAGTGATTANNNGATGATTAATTGGGTAATTTATGCAAATAGATAAACGCCTAATTATGACAGCTTGTGTTTGATTTTCCTATAGAAACATTTATACGACTTATGTTTAGGACTTGACTTAACAAGATTCATAAACAACATAACATAACAATTATCTAGTCCCGATACAACCGTCTCAATCCTCTCATCACACGGCAAAATCAAACACTCCACAGTACCCTGCTCATGGACTACATGCATCTTTTGAGCATTTGATGCAAATGGAAAAATGGCGATGCCTAATTTTGACGGCAGCTTGTGTTTGATTTTCCTTTAAGAAACATTTATACTATACTTGTATTTAGAACTTGGCTTTGTTAGCAACTCACAAAAATCAAAAACAAAGAATTTTAATTTCACCGTTTGCTAAAGTCGAAAGCATCAGCAATCAACAGGATTTAAGACGCTCTTCATCACTGCATGTTTAAAATTATTACCATTGTTTGGTCCCGCTATTCTCAGTCCTCTAAATCTAAATCGTATAGCGAAATCAAACACTCCATACACACACTGCTCATGGACTACATGCATCTTTTGTGTGTCTTTTTGAAGGAAAAAATTCATTAAGTGTAATTTTTAAGATTCAAAGTGAGAGTTGACAAATAGATACAACTTCTCCCATCGTCTCTTGTTCATTTTCACTTTCCATACGTGTGGCTTCGATGGCAGTCATATGACTTCTATATTGGTTTCATTTAGGATGAAGATTCTGGAAACGCGGCAAGGTCAGGTTTGCGATTCGTTTTCATAAAATTTCACGTCTTACTGGTTTTTGTTGCATTGATATGGGCGACGTTCGAAGCCCAACCACTTTGAGCATGAATTTAATTTCTTATAATCTGTTTTAGGTTTTTGCAAGGACGGAGCACCGGGTAAACCAGGTAACCATGGAAACAAAAAACGCGAGTGAGAATGTGAATTAGTGAGGTTAAAGAGCAAAAACAAACAAAGAATAGCTAGTGAAGTGGTTTAATAGGGAGAACATCGGTACTACTAATGGTACCCCTATAGACACATTTTTCTGAGCCTGCACCAGCGGTTATTCGCCAAAAAAGGGGTGGTGAATTTTTAATTTTCGTATAAATTAGTATAAATTAAAAAAATCCGAAGGATTTTTTTCCCGAGTTTAAGTTGAAAAGTGAAAACTAAATTTCATGGTTTCCTCCAAATATTTTTTGTAGAAAAAGTTACGCTCGAGACAGGATGATAACGTGTTTTAATGGTACAAAACAAATTTCAGATACAGATGTAAGAAGTCTTGGTTAATTCCTTTGAATATAGTTCAAAGTCCCCCTTTTTTAGGCATTAGGCAAGACCATCAAATCACCTAGAAGGTTTGCAAAGCTCTCTTTGGTGACTTTCTCTTTTCTGGAGTCGGGATAGCTCTCGATCATTTCTTCGCACAAGTTCTGTCGCTTTCTGTGAGATTGTTAAATTGTTGATACGTTTCCCAAACGCGAGGGCTTGTTTCTTCTTTCAGTCTTTCAGTCAGCAATATTAGAGTTTATGAAAAACGTCTTGTTAATCCTGTCAGTCCTGAGTGGTATAAAGGAGAAGGCATTGACGAAATGCTGTCATTTCTACTCAAAGCTTCGAGGAATTACTAAAAACATGGTTAGGAGATACTGCCGAGATTGTCCAATAGAGGGTTGTGGTGCTAGATACCTTGTGAAGCTATCAAATCATCTACATGATGTTCATGGTTTAAACTCTGCCGAGAGACGAAAATATCTTCAAGAATCAAAGCTNATAAAATCCACCAAGCAATCACTTGAATACATATGTAAGAAGAGCTATATAATTTGTTTTACTATTAAATTCTACCATCTACTAGAGGCAACATTTCTGTCGATTTCAAGTATTTTTTTACTCCATAATGTCGATGAGAAAAAGTTTTGTTGTGCTGTTCGTTTCCACCATGTTTTGGGGACCTCATAAATGTGAACATGTCAGGGTTGAGAAACGAAGTCAAATCAATCCTTCAACTCTCGCAGACGTGGCAAAAATCTTGACTGACTACGCTAAAAGGTATAAATTGGAAAGCTTCCAAATTTTTTTAAGTGCGCACAAAAATGGCCACAATCCGATGTGTTCTGATTGACGAAGCTCATGGGGAATTCAATATCGGTTCTAAAAAGCTTTTATAGCAGTAATTGTGAATAATATGAAGACTTTTAGATCTTCATAATTAAAATTATCGGTGAATATGGAGTCGATTGAGCAACAACAATCTCCAAGCTTGGTCTCTAAAGCTCTAGCTATAGAACCGGTCTTTCGGTCGTAGAATCATCGAGTTCGTCACTAGATTCTTCCGACAACCCTCAGTTTTCTGTATATACTGTACTGATCAACGCAACATGCATATTTCTAGAATAAAGGATCTGGAGTCAAAGCAAGGTACGTAAAGTGCGCGTATTGATAAATTCAATGGTTTGTACGTGAGTTTTGTCTCAAAACTGTTTGGGAGAACTCTAACATGATAAATTTAGAAACACTGTAAAATAAACGTTACTTACACGACCAAGCAAAACAGCATTCTTAATTTTTCATTATTATAGTCGTAAATTTAAGGCGAAATCATGATAAAAATTGACTCGAGAAAAAGAGTCTTGAAAAATCCAGTTGTGTATGCTACTCCTGTGATTATAAACTGATTTCGAACTTCAATGGCATTTTCAATTCATTATTTATAGGATGATGGATATGTAAAAATACATAGAGGACTCTCTAAGATTGTATCAAAGTGCTGTAACTACATTGCCTTAGTCAATTGATCGTTTTCAATCATTCCCATCATGATCGGGATTCAACAGATAAAAGACCGGCGACCATGTTGGAGGAATGATCTGAATGATCAATATATACTAATAAGAAATCCTTTGTCGAGGTTCCTCCAAGATGGCCGCTCTAACGTAACTTTAAAACGAAGAATATAAGCCGAAAACCAAATGATATCAGAGTTAGGACCCTAGACTTTAGTTTTATGAGTGAATGGACAGGCTGTATAGCAGGTGTAGCACTTCTTTACAAACACTTATTCTTCAACTATGCTTTTACGAGGGATAAGCTGAAGGTGAAGGTAGGGGGTGCCACGTACAGTAAAAGTCGGTCGTGCTGATGCCGGTTGCTACATCACCTGAAGTATAGGCAAACTAATATTACTTAAATTGCAAAAGGCGCAACATTTTAACTTACAGCTTTGAAATCGTTAAAGGATGGTGTAAGGATGGCGCGCCAGGAGCACCAGGGTTACCAGGGAAACCAGGTAAGTGAGACAATGGTTTAATCTTCTACTTAATTTTCTCCCAAATCAAACATTTGCGGAAAATGACAAATAAGTTTGAAAATTTTGAGTGTTGGCGACAAAAGGAAAGCTCAATGGAGTGTAGCAAATAACTAAATAGATTACAGTTGTATAACTTTATTGAGCGGTGACCCCGGCCTAGGCGGCACTTTTCAAAGTGGACGCAGAATAGAGAGGTTTAATACAGCGTGAATAGAGATATTTGTGAGTATTTATTGTGAGCACTTTCCAGTAGAACTTAAAGAACTTACACATATCATGATGGCCTACATGAAGACTATCTTTTCTTAGGGAATCATGGTCCTATTATTCTTCCTTATAGCGATAACTTTTATGGTTAGCATTGTCGAGTCATTACTTGACATATTTGTTGTGGATTTTATTCGTCAGATTAAGCTTTGTGAATTTTTTTATTTCTTTTTTTTTATTTCTTTCGTTCTCTATACGTGTATTACTATCATTCTCTATATGTGTATTACTATTATGTTAAAATTGGACTTGCAGTTTACAGGGTCGCTCCCTGAATGTTCTTTGTACTTTTGCTTTTTTGTGTTTTCGTTGATTTTGCTTTTGCTTTTTTTATTTTTATAAATATTTTGTTTAATTCTATCTTTGGAAGGCAAGGATGGCCGTGATGGAGTCGGTTTGCCAGGAAAAGATGGTACCAATGGTATACCAGGAAAAGATGGCATCAATGGTTTGCCAGGAAAAGATGGTGCATCAGGGAAAGATGGCGTCGGTTTACCAGGCTCACCAGGTCCAAGAGGTTAATAAAACAATTAATATTATTGATTCATTGACAGGAAAATTTTAGATTATGATCGAAAAATTAAACTTGTTTCCTTTCAGGACGAGATGGTCGTGATGGCCTACATGGTACACCGGGACCGCGGGGTAGGGTTGCACAATTCGATAGCTGATGCCAAGAACAGTTAATATTATTCTTCATCAATTGATAAATTATTCATATAATTAGGAAGTCCTGGTTTGCAAGGTCTACGTGGTGCTCAGGGACTAAAGGGTCCTCCAGGTCCTAAAAGTGCTGGTGTTCAGTACATACGCTGGGGAAGGACCTCTTGTCCTTCTGGTGCTAACCTCGTCTACAAAGGTATCTGCACTTGATGTAGCATTATGTCTACCATGCCTGTTTACTATTATATTTTGGTTTCCAGGGGATTTCCCAGGAGTACGTAATTCCGGACGTGAATGCTCTTGACCAATCATAGACGCTCCTAGTGATGTGCTCCTAATTAGGGACATTCAATGTCTAAAGGGTCTCTAAACGATTGAAGTCATCAGTCTATGCTCGGCTCACTGCTCCCTTCACGTCTTTGAAGGTCCATGGTCCACCGACATCCCTTTCAAACCTTTTTTTATGTTTGACAATAAAATTACATCGTAATATGCGCAAAAAAATCTAAAATTTATGATTCCTTTATGCTTCATGAAGGCATGCAAAAACTGTAAGATTCAAAAAGCCCCACGTGCATCCAAGAGGTATTGCATTGATTTTGAACCAATCAGTAAACAACTTTTAATAATAACAAAACTAAGAAACTATCGCAAAGGTTCTCAGATGCAAGTAGGTATTTAAAACCGACTGATACGTAAATGGATTGAAGTCACTTCAATGTCCATACATGAAAAATCCAAGAAAACACAGCCGCATTGAATGCTGGTTGTTCATGCCCCTCAGGGGCAGTTTAGTTATGTACCTTTCGATGAACTGATAATTATTATTCCTTTCAGGTCGTGTTGGAGGGGAGGATCATAATAATCCCGGTGGAGGCTCTAACTATGTATGCCTTACAGAGGCACCAAAATACGCAAGTTACACAAATGCCCTCAAAACGGTTTCGGCACTTATGTATGGAGCAGAGTACCAGGTTCATTCCGCCAATCATCCCAATCCATTCAACAACAAGAACCTTCACGATCACGACGTCCCTTGTGCTGTGTGCTTCATTCCAAATCGCAACGCGAAACTTATGATCCCGGCAACATACGAGTGTCCCTTGGGATGGTCCAAAGAGTACTGGGGATATCTTATGACAGAGTATTACAAACATCCCAACCAGAGGAATTTCATTTGCGTCGATCAAGATGCTGAGCCTGTCAAAGGAACCTTTCATAATCATAACGGCGCGTTGTTGTACGGTGTCCAAGGAAGGTGTGGCTCTCTGCCTTGTCTTCCTTACGTAGAAGGACGGGAACTGACATGCGTAGTGTGTACCAAGTAAAATCGTGACATGCGCAATACGCCAAGATATATATGTTCATGACCGATCAGTTTAACGCAATATATATATTGTAAAAGTATGAGTAAATAAAACAGTTAGAAATGCAGAAAATAATTAAATAATTTGGTGATTACGAAATGAGTTTTACTGTGTAGTTATTGCCACTGAATGACGTGGTTGAGATGCAGTTAAGTGGTAAAAAAACATTCATACGCGGGAACCGGTCTTTGTTTTAGTCTTTTAGATTTGAACGTGTGATATCGTAAGGCATTACCAACAATATATGTAGATGTAGATGTATAGATGCTTTCTCTTCCCATTCTTTCACATAGTGGCTGGAAAATCAGGTGATCGAGAATTTGAACCTCGTCAATGCACGTTATATGTTCGCATTGGAAATCAAAATAGTAGCTACATACTAGGTAAAATGATATGAAACTGTTGCAAATAAATATCTGTTTTGATAAATGGACAAACAAAAACCTTTTTCACACCATTATCTTAT